ATAAAATATGGTGTTTTACATAACACTAGTGATAAGAATTCCGTATGGACCACGGACAATAATTTGTTTGACGTGAGCTGGGCTGTGGGATTTATATCGTAAACTCAATGTTCTGATTACCTAACGGGTCACTTACAAAATGTGTAAAATCAATTTAGCTAATATAGTTATCTTACAGGCAATAAACTGTATGATATCTTCAGTTAATTAAGTGTTCGTACATTAAGTGAGTACAAGCCATGAAAGCATAGGTTTTAGCCAAGATGAGCATATCTCCCAACCCATCCCTATGATAATGGACTGAACTTTTAGTCAGTGTTTGTATAAAAGTAACTGTGAGAAAACAACAGTATTTGTGAAGAGTTATTAGTCAGGTTATTGACTGTTTTAGTTCCTAGTTTCATCGCTTAGACCGACCATATTACGTGCTTGTCAAATGGTAACAAAGCTTTATGGTGATGTCGAGAAAACATTTATGAGTAGCTTTGATTTGAGGATTAGCTGTGGAAAATGCCATAAATTTAAAATATAATGGAAGAAAAATTGAACGATACCGATGAAACTGAGTTATGTGATTACATTGTAAATCATGCAACATTAATACACTTTACCTTATTGAATAACCTTTATAAGCATGTAAAACATTATTCCACTGAGGACCACTTACATGTATTTAACCATTGTTTGATCTTGTAGTGACATACTTTTATCAAGAGAACGTGATTGGTGTAATCGAAACAATCAGTATTATAAGCAATCGTACCAGTGATTGTTTTTCTGTGCTTGTTTGTTTGACTGAACTGAAACCATCCATTATTCTTACTTTCGATTGTGACCTCGCGCAAATTCGGTTATGCTCAGAAACCATGCTTGTAGCCTGGCACGATCTCGGTACCACGAGATCGCCAGCAAATATATCTCGACTACGTTCATTAACTGCCTTCTGATATTTAGCTTCCGGGGGATTTTATCGATATTCTGTACGCAACCTTCTTGTAGTGGTGTTCATAGTCAACCGCGACTCGACGCCACGCTACAATCTGAAATGTTTCGTTTAAAAATAAAACGCTTTTAATACTAGTTTTGGTCGTATACAGCTACTAATCCTATCTTATACAAAAAGAAAAACGGTTTTGAGAGTGGCTCGTACGAAATATATGCAACTAGTCTAAGAGGAAAAATCTATAGAAGTTTAGGAGTACTAAAAACAGAGTAAATTACCCAGGGAAGGAAAAAAGCGTAAAACTGGCCTGAGTTGCTTTGGGATCTTGTCGTTATTCGAGGGTTTATTGCTTGAATTTATAGTACATGTTAATAGAGAATTTTTTCAGTGTTACCATTCACCTTTCTCATTCTCTATTATTAGAGGCAAAATCTAAGAAAATGGTTGATTTGACAGGCGAAGCTTGCTCACATCACTCACCTTAGTTGAAGATTCTTCGTTGTTTTGTAACTTAACCCTTTTTATATGTATTCGTCTTCTATTACTCAGCGTACGCTCACGGATACAAGCTCATGTATTCAGTATTAAAAAATGAATGTAACGCTAATGTATCAAAAGTAAAACGTCTAGGAAGTGTGAATAGCATAATGTTGCAGACTACATTTTATTAGTTATATTTTTGTTAATTAATTAAAATAGGTGAAAAGGCACGAAAAAAATTTAAGCTAAATAAACGCAAGATCTTATTAGATGCCTGGTTGTATTTTAGTCTGCAGCCAAAAACTGTCAATGTTATTCACTGACTAATCGGCTATGCCCGTCTAAATTTTTTAGCCACTTGTGAAGATCTATCGTTTTCGCTTGACGATTTCGTTATTGTTTTGTCAGGCAAACGGTCTCACAACATATATGGGGGTTCATGAACGAAATAAGCAGCTTTTAGCCTATCGATAATAACAGAGTCGATGGTTCTGTGTTTTTCTACCATGGAATATTTAGATTTCCATGAGACAACTTTGAAAGGACCTTCAAATGGACGGCCATGCGGTGCCCGAAAAACGACCTCACCATTCTGATGGGAGATCTAAACGTTATAGTCGGCATAGGCAACAACAGATATGATATCATGGGACGACATGGATCGACTGGGACAGAGAAACGAAAATGGAGAATGATTTTCAAATGTGTGTGCATTCAACAAATTCGTCATAGGTGGCACAATATTTCCACACAAACGTATACAGAAAGCTAAACGAATCTCACCGGACCACACCACAGAAAACCAAATAGGTAATATTTGCATCAATAAAAAATTCCGAAGGACATTGGAAGATATGAGAACCAGGAGGGAGCTGACATAGCTTCAGATCACCACCTAGTTGTGGCCAATTTAAAACTGAAGCTAAAAAAGAACTAGACAACTGAACAAACAGCACTACAAAGGTTCAATACAGCCTTCCTTCGAGATACTGACAAACTCAGTGAATTCAAGATAGCTCTCAACAACAGGTTTCAAGCCTTTCAAGATCTACTGAAGGAAGAAGAAACTTCTATAGAGGACAACTGGAAAGGTATCAAAGAAACTTTGACTTCAACGTGTCAAGAGGTTCTGGGTTTAAAGAAACACCATCATAAGGAATGGATCTCTATCGAAACACTGAACAAGATCAAAGAAAGGAAGAACAAGAAGGCAGCAATAAACAACATGCGAACACGAACAGAGAAAGTCAAAGCACAAGCTGAATATATAGAAACAAACAAGCAAGTGAAGAAGAGCATTAGAGCCGACAAGCAGAAATACGCGGAAGAATTAGCAACGACGGCAGAAAAAGCTGCAAGAGAAGGAAATATGAAACAGCTTTACGACGCAACGAAGAAACTGGCAGGGAAATACAGTAAACCAGAGAGAAAGGTCAAAGACAAAGTAGGCAGGGTAATCACTGAAATTCAAGAACAGCGGAAGAGATGGGTAGAGTACTTCGAGGAACTCCTGAATAGGTCGGCTCCAATGAATCCACCGGACATCGAAGCAGCACACACAAACTTTCTTATAGATGTCACAACACTAACGATCGAAGAAGTCACAATGGCCATCAGACAAATCAAGAGAGGGAAAACATCAGTACCCGACAACATACCAGCTGAAGCACTGAAATCATACATCGAAGTAACTACAAACATGCCTCACCTTCTATTCAACAAGATTTAGGAGGAAGAATAAGTATGCATGGATTGAAAAGAAGAACACCTCATCAAGATTCCAAAGAAAGGAGATCTGAGCAAATGTGAAAACTACAGAAGCATTATACTCCTGTAAGTACCAGGCAAAGTCTTTAACAAAGTGTGGCTGAACCGGATGAAAGACACAGTAGATGCTCAACTTCCAGATCAATAAGCTGGATTCCGTAAGGATCAGTCGTACACAGATCAAATTGCAACACTATGGATCATCGTCGAACAATCAATTGAGTGGAACTCGTCACTGTACATCGACTTCATTGATTATGAGAAGGCATTTGACGGTGTAGATAAGAAAATATTATGGAAACTTCTTCGACACTGTGGAGTTCCCGAGAAGATTGTCAACATTATCCGGAACTCATACGACGGACTACAGTGCAAAGTAGTGCATGGAGGACAGCTGACAGATGCATTCCAAGTAAGGACCGGAGTCAGACAAGGCTGATTACTTTCCCCCCTTTCTCTTTCTTCTGGTGGTCGACTGGATTATGAGGACCTCGACACTTGAATGGACAGCTCAGAACCAATTAGAAGATTTCGACTTCGTAGATGACCTAGCCTTCCTATCGCATACACACGAACAAATACAGATGAAGAAAACTAGTGTCGCAGCAGTCTTTTCATCAGTAGGCCTGAACACATTGAGAGGGCAAATCAAGGTCAAAAAACGCGGTAGACAGCAATCCAGTCACTCTTGATGGCGAACCTCTGGAAGATGTAGAAACCTTCACATACCTGTGAAGCATCATCCATGAACCTGGAGGTTCACATGCACACGTGAAGGCAAGGAGTGGCTAAGCAAGGGCCGCATTCCTACAATTGAAGAACATATGGAACTCAAAACAACTTTCAACCAATATCAAAGTGAGAATCTTCAATACGAACGTCAAGGCAGTTCTACTGTATGGAACTGAAACTTGGAGAACTACAACAACCACAATCAAGAAAGCACAAGTATTTATAAATTGTTATCTACGCTACATCCATCGGGCGGACACCATCAGCAACAGCGTTTTGTGAGAGGGAACAAACCAACTTCCACTTGAAGAGGAAATTGGGAAAAGACAATGGAAATGGATGGGACATACATTACGTAAATCGTCAAACTGCATCACGAGGCAAGGCTTAACTTGGGATCCTGTAAGGAAGCGGAAAAGAGGAAGACCGAAAAAAGTGTTACGTCAGAAAATAGAAGCAGATATGAAAAGGATGAATGGCAACTTGGAGGAGTTGGAAAGGATTGCCCAGGATGAGGTTGGATGGAGGGGTAACAGGTGTAAGTAAGTAGGTAAGTAGCAGAGGACAAGAATATTGCTTAGAGACCGGGGACAATAGTAAAACATAATTTGCAGAACAACATTACTTTCCCCAGTAACGTTATTCACTGGCAGTTTACTTCGAAACGATCACGAGTTTTATTGAGATTTCTATGCCTTGGGATATCATTCCAGCCTGCAATGCATTTCCAGCATAACGCATTTCAACGTTGTTAAAAAATTACTGCCATAGCAAAATTCACAGCATAGTGTAACTTTTTTCAAAAGTCAAAATTATTTTATGGTATGACAAACCCGTAACTGTTATAACGGCCCATGATACATTAAGTTGACCTGACAACGTTACATATATTTCCACCCGGCGTAAGTATGAAGTAAGTTTTTTAAAAGGTGCCAAAACGATTATAATTCACATGTACATGTTTATTAGTACTAGGTTGAAGAAGGCTGCGTATCTGATTTGACTTTATTATCACTTAATTTTTCAAGACTATACGAAATCAGAATTGACTTAGATTGTTTTCGCATTGTGGAGTTTTAGTTTGTCCGTGAAAATAGCGCCAAATTTCGTTCTCCAGGTTTTATGTTAGACGAACTTACAAACCCATACATAGGTAGTGTTTTTTGTTGGAATAAATCTAAACTACACGGTTTTTAGCTGAATTGAACTTAACTTGTCACTTAATCTCCCTTAAGCATGACAGTATCTTAGTAGAAACTTGTAAATACTGAATATCAAGCTGACAGAAATATCAGCTGTAGCCTTTTTCCATTTGGCTAGGCTTTTATTAGCTAGATGTTTTCCACCTTGCATCCAAGCCAGTTTTCTTGTCTTTCATTTTATATCCACATTCTCAACCAATACTGGGATTTACACTATATCGCATCAGTCCCTGTCAAATGTTTAATACTGTTGACCGGTACTACGTTTGTGCTTTATGTAAAATTCTACAGTTATTTTAAAGGTTTAAAGATAATTTTTTGAAGCTTCCGAGTAAAATTAACAAAAGCCTAACCCAACAACTTTTGAGCACAGAATGCACTTGAAATTGACGACAAAACCTGTTGTATCGGCTCGCGTCCAACTAGAGGCTACTGTGTGTATTACAGAGGCATACAGAGTAGCGTGAGTGAAGAGGGCTAAGAGGACAAGAAAAGGTAAGTCGAGGACCCAACAAACGCATACAACACACTTACGTTTTGTAAGTAAAGCAATAAGTAGTAACCAGCAACAACACAATTTACAGATTAAGACAATGTTAAAACTAAAACTGGAGGAAGATTGTTTAACCCACTACGCATTACATCCGTTAGAAATAACAGACGTGAAATGTGATGAATCTTAATAGTCGTGCCAGGGTCTTGAGAGCATCATCCATTAAAAAAAACATTTATAGAAGTAGATACATGTATACTTTATTATTTAAGTTGTAATCTAACATGGTCCACAAACTAATCAATTTACTCCAATTTTGTTTGTTTAGATACTGATGGAAAGTGAGAGGGATGAGGATTATCCTATCGGTGTACTTATCGAAGAACTTCGTGGTGAAGACTTACACGTTCGTCTTCATAGCATTCGCAAAATCTCTACTATTGCCTTAGCTCTTGGCCCGGAAAAGACCAGATCTCAACTAATACCGTTTCTGACAGAAACAATATATGATGAAGATGAAGTACTGCTCACTTTAGCAGAACAAATCGGAACTCTAGTTCCATATGTGGGCGGTCCTGAGTATGCCCACTCACTTCTTCCTCCACTTGAGAGTCTTGCAGCAGTAAGTTACTTGTAATGTTCGAGGGTCAGAATTCATTCAAAAGTTTTTCATTGCCTCCTTCCTATCTTCCAATTTTGAATTCGAGTATACCGTCGTACATACCTTTTCACTAACTTCTGGGGTCATATTCTAAAGGTTTATCCTCATCATTGCTACGACGATGGTTTTGACTTCCTTGCTACTCATCTTTTCAATTTTACCTGGGGCAACGCATGTGTGTCAGGTTTACGCTGATTATGTCTGACTACACCTATCACTCATTACTTGACGTGGAGTAGAGTTATTGTAATCATAATTTGTAGGGAGGCTTTATTACAGTATGGGCATTTTTCAGTATTAAGTGTTAAATATGTAATAGTCTAGTTCTCAGTACACAAAAAGAAATTAACACGTCCCTGCCTAGCATACGGAGAGTTAATGTGAAATCCCCACCATCTATGAAATCTAACCTGTGGTGTAGAAATTTGGACAGTCAAGTAATAGTACCAGTCTTCTTGATTTATGTTATAACAAGTATAATTATTTCTAATGACTATCAGTTAGTCCACTCGTTTAAATCAGCCTGGTGATCATCGCGTTTGGTTTCCTCCACACATCAACATCTTCAATAGACATTAAAATAAGTAATTGATTCTCCTTGGTAGGACATCCTCAGAAAGTAAGAAGAAATCGAAGCTTAAAATTCCATCTCTATGAACCTGATTTCTACTGATTTTCATGACGATAGAGTACTAATTACGAACACTACCTATTGTTACTGAGGTGAAATTGACTGTTAATTCTATACTGGTTATCTCCTCTGGGCTTTACATGCTAGACTGGCAGGGGAGTTCCTTTTTACTGTCCAATAGTTTGATCGTGGGTGATCATCTGGTCTCGTCTAGTGTAACCGCTAACTTACCATGTTATATGACTAGGTTAAAAAGTGGACGGCATTGTATATTTATGAGTGTAGTTTCTCGGAAAAATAATTTTTCTTGTTGATTAGGTTCTACTTTTACTTATGGCTTAGCAATTGAAGTACTTAACATTTAGCCATTGTGTTATGGTTTCGAACTCCATTTCAAACATTTCAGTTTGGGAGACCGTGAAGTCCTATTAGTCTTCATAAGCTAGTGCAACTGAAATCTAGTTGCATGAAAATCTACTAGTTTTCTGACATATGCTTTAAAAACGACCCGTTCAAATACCGATTCACTATGGTAACTAGTTTGTATAAATGCTGTGCTTTTAAACTGAAATAAATCAAAATGCTTAGTTGAGCCGAATCGATAAGCAATTTCGCGTTTATTTTGTTTCATTTTTGAAAAAAGGTTGAAGAAACGGTTGTACGTGACAGGGCTGTAGAGGCACTCAGGAAACTTGCACCAGACCATACTACAGAAGCAATGGAAAAATATTTCAACCCATTGTTACATCGCCTAGCTACTGGTGATTGGTTCACAAGCCGAACCTCTGCATGCGCTCTCTTTAGTGTAGTATATCCTAGAGTAAGGAGCTCAAAACGATGGGAATTACTTGATTTTCTTAGGAGACTAGCCAAGTAAGTTAATATTAGCCCTGAAATTTGTATTTTATGTCTGGTAATGTTATTTTTATCAATTAACATTTTTAATTGTATGATTAGTGATTATGGAGTAATACCTAACTACATTCATAACTATTGTAAAAATGCAGTGTATCAAATAATTTTGGTGACAGATTCTTCATCTTACTTTGTATCTGGTCATCTTGTGCTATTTTACTCCTATTTTGCACCAGGTCTTAAAGCACACGTTGTAAAGACTTAAAATATACCATTTGTTAATTCATACCGGAATAACTGGAGCCTCATTTTTTGCATAAGACTTAGTGGTTTGAAGACGAGTTCTTAACGGCCAAACTTTGAAATCCATGTTTGTAATCTTAGTTATCTTGACAATCGAACATAAGCGATTACGATAAATCAGTCTTTTGGGACCTGTCTGGATTTTGTCATGGTACAATCAGGATAAGAGTTTTTCCAGTTATTTGTTTGTTTTTCACTTTGATTTTTGATATCTTTTTCCTTTTGATGTTCTCTTACATCTTGACTTGAAACAATATTTTGTAATGTTCTTTGTCCTGGCCATGTATCGGATTCGGTTCATGATTTATAACATGAATGCCAGTTTTAGATAGAAAATACATGATACTTATGGTATTAAGAAGCGTTCGTTCGTAAAATATTAGTTAAATACGTGATTCGTAAAAGCAAAGATGTTTATTTTTGACATATGCCTCATCCTCTCTGTTAACCTTTCAGCAGGACTAGTTAGCACATTAGTAATTTCGTAGTTATTTTTTCAAAGATAGATATTTCGTTTAACTTTGTTGGGACGTATCAGTCATCATCGACGTAGTCTGGCACATATGTGCTTTGAGTCAAGTTGTCATACCATATTCATACTAGGGGATAAACATAACAAGACTTGCAAAGCGGTCAAAATAATGTAGTAATAATGAAAATAAGAAAGATTGAAAATCAGCAATATGGTTCCAAATTGCAAAGTGGAAGGTATTTTTGTGGGAATATTGGAATTCAAGATACAAAGCGAGTACGTCTGCTCCATCGTGAATGATTTCTATCCGTATGACTCAAAGTCTTCAGCCACTGGCCACAGTTGTTGTATGATGCCCAGTTAGGTAGTCTGCTTCTAACTATATCGCTTAGCCCAACATTTTGTGACTAGATGAACTGATGCCAGATTTTGGATTAGGTGGCCCTAGCTTCTTTCCAGTCTACTTCTATATCATGGAGCATCGGTCGTCGAAGTAGACGGTGGTTAAGTAAGCGCAAAACATGTCTCAACCACCTCAGTCGATGAAGAATGACAAACTCATCATCCGTTTACCACCTTTTCCTATTTCCCATGTATAAACCTAACGTTGTTCAATCTGTCATTTCCACGAAGCTCATGCAACGTTTCGAAGACATAAGTGATGAAAACCTGTAGCCTACACTTGTCTTCTATTTTCAGAGTCCACGTTTCACAATCATAAAGTAATCCAGAGTTAGGTACTGCACAATATACGTGCCCTTGTTTGGTGGATATACTTCTTGCTTACACTACAAGTATAATGTATTTTTAATAAACTACTAAATTGTAGAATTGTGTCTGAATATTACCATTACAAATTTTATTATTATTATTATTATTATTATTATTATTAACTAACAAACCAGGTACGTATTTGTTTGCTTGGCCTTAAGTCACACTAGATGTGTGCGATAGTTATACTATCTGGTTTACGTAGTCAAAGTAGGGGAAACTTGGTTCGAGTTTGTGACTTAGTGGCTGGAAATCGGACGCATTAACCGCTGATCCACCGCCACGAATGAGCAAAACAGACTATCGTAGCTCTCGTTTTTTGCAAACAATGTATCTTCTGTACGATATTTTTTGGTTATTTGTTTTCAGATTCACATTCTGTATCGTATTTGTGAGTGACTGGTGTAACTGACCAGAAACGCGAAATTATGTAGAAGGATAAACACAACCCAATGACTGCATACAGACTCATTTATTTGTTTATTTATTTAAACACGAACATTGGTATAAGGAGGCACCAAGTGTATATGCGCCTCACTTCGTCATTCGATTTGTGTAAGGACTGAAACACTTCCCGGGCGCCCAGACCGAAGCAGGTAGTTTTCTTAGGGGGCCACTCCCTCCTCTCATGCAGTAAAGCATACAAGTTAATGTCTAAGGAAAATATGTTAAGCGAGATATTCACTAAATCCACCAACCTATATTTATTGGGTTCCCAAAGGCGTGCATATTATTCTGGGATGGCTTTACAATATATTACATTGCATGCCATTTAATATCACTTCAATTTATTTTGTGTTTCCGGTTTTACTGACTATTGATACTTGCTAAATTACATATTTTTATGAATTTATATAGGGATGAAACACCGATGGTCAGAAGAGCAGTTGCTGCTCGACTAGGTGAACTAGCACTAGCCATGTCAGTAGGTCAATCTTCCGAGAAACCTAGTGCTGATGGAGAAAAATCAAGTCAGATATCTGAGCATAATTCAAGTAATATGACCACTTCTATCACTGAATCAAAAATATTAACAAATGAAGTGGTTAGTTTGAACAGTGGTCATTTTAGTTGTGGAGTTGCTGCTGATGAACGTTTGACTAATGATAGCGTAGCTGAAAAATCGTCAACTCTTGCAAATCCTCTTCAATCTGATGACTTTACTCTAGACCCTGAGAAAGAACGCAGTTATATTGTTACTATAATTATTCCCTTATTTGTTCGACTAGTTGATGATGAACAAGAGTCTGTACGCCTTATGGCAGTCGAATCGATTGTTCAATTAGCACAAGCATTGGGACCTGAAGAATCTGAAGGTTATTTAATTGATCTCATCCAACAAGCTACAACTGATAGATCTTGGCGTGTTCGATGTGTTGTAGCCGATAAATTTACAGAAATTCAGACAGCTATGGGTTTACGAGTTTCACGTGAACGATTGGTAGTAAGTTAGTAATCTTCTATGTTATCAGCTATCTTCAATGTAAGGTAGACTTTTCGGATATACTTTTAATATTCTATCTGCCATTTCAAATTTCAAAAAATTTACAACTGGGGTCAAATGATAATTAAAACTGAAGGTAATGGTTGTTGGTGTATTTTATAGAAATGATAGTGTCGCTAAATTATCCATTCTATCTGTACAAACATAATATCACGCAATCCACATATACAACTACATTTACATGTCTTTGATAATGAATTTTATGTTAGTGTGATGAATGTGTTGATTGTGAACACTCCTAACTAGTGAGAGCTGTATTTTACTCTATTTTCTAAGTTGGCCAATTAAATCCAGAAATACAGATTCACTGTGTTCATGTACTTTTTACATCTTTCAACTACTGACACCATCAGTTTAACCCACACACGTTGCATAAATCTTTCATTTAGGTCAAATGGATTTTTTCGTATTCATATTGTTTGCTAATTCAAGCCAGCTGTTCTGATAAAATTCTTAGCTTATCTGATCACTAGTATAGTTGATATGCGAAATCTCAAATCATTCATTTATCATACATTAAAGGTTAAAGTACAATCGAGTTGGTTGGTTAGGCATCAATTGTTGTGATTAATGGCTGTCATTTTGAATTCCCCATTGTATTGTATAATCTTCGGATTATATGCATGGAGCATTATGCCGTAAATCCTGTGGTCTGATATCTGGTATTCCATGTTGGCGTATAGTCTATCCCCAATGCGAAAGTTACCTTTCATTCATGAAGTGTGACTAATGATTTCTATTTTTAGCACTGGGGAGTTTTCAAGTGCCTTGCTTTTTTAAAAAACTTTAAATAGATAACAACACAATAATTATTAACATACTGTTATTTTCGTTCTCAACTAATTTACTCAGCAATCTGGTTACGATTCTAACTTTTGTCCTATAATACATTCGTATAGTTTGGTAATATAATAACTGTTGATTGTTTCTGCTTTCGTCTTAGTTTCATGGTTTCCCACATGTTTGAAGTTAATTGATTTTAGACCTTAGATTCAAAGCTTTTACTGAAAATTTTACTTTTCAACAAGACTTATCTAGCCCGACCGTAGCTGCTACCTTGACGTGGTGGTCGGGCTTGCCTATCGTGATGACCCAACCGAGCTATATTGGCCGGAACATATGTTCCTGTAGGTTCTACCATACCAGGCAGGTTGATTGGAGAACGGTAAAACTAAAAGCAACAACTCAAGGTCTAAGGGAGAAGTCGTACTGCTCACTATAGATGGGTGTGATAGCAGCAGGGTGTTTCCCTCGGACAACCAGCATCTGCAGAGATGCTGCCTTCTCACAAGGAAGGAAGGGGTTAGAAAGGTCGGCTATGAAAATATCACGCCTCACCTTACCTCACGGATCTCCGTCTCCAGCGATAAGGCCCTTTAAAGAACGGAGCTAACACTTCCCAGTTGCCCACACCGTGGAACGGTTCTTCTGGGTACCTGAAAAGGAAATTGAACCAGAGATGGTCTTAGTGACCTGAGAGCGTGACCACAGTGCCCAAGGGACGACTGCTTAAGGTCGGTCACACGACATTTTTGTTCGTAATTTTCGTGTTAGCTCCGTACTTTTTGAGACCTTACCACCGGAGACGGATATCCGTGGGATAAGGCAAGGTGTGCTTTTTTAGCGTCGACTTTTTCTAACCCTAACCTTACTTTGTGGAATGGCACATCTCTCATACTGGTTGTCTGAAGGGAAACACTTTACTGCCGTCACATCTCTGTACAGTCAGCAGTATAACTTCACCCATAGAACTTGCGTTTTTTGCTTTTAGTCTTACCGTTCTTAAACTGATTTATCTGGCATTGTAGGACCTCGAGAATTGATTGTTCCAGCAAGTATAACCCGATAGGCAAGTCCGACCACGTTAAGTTAGTAGCAACGGTTGGAAAGTGAGTTCAGTAATAATAATGGTTACACCGTGATTTTACTATGATTTCACTAGTCGAATAGAAAATATTTAAAGTTGTAAGCATATTTGAGGAAGTTTCACAGGAAAGATTAACATCAGTACACCTAGCAAATGATGAGAGAGTTCTTAGTTCACGAGCAAATTGCGGTGAATTATTCGAGTTTCGAAAATGTACTGGTAAAGTAATTCATATAGAGAAGATTTTGAATGAGATCGTTTCACTAATGATAAAGAGTTACGGATGCTATTACTAGGCATTTTAGTATATTGGATTGTATCAGCCGGATAACAAAATAGTTTATTAAGTATTTTAAAGAATAAAAATCAGAAAAGACTACATCATAAAGTGATTCAAGATTCCAAATCTCAAATGAGGTTGCGTAATAATCAGGGAGTTTGAGAAAAATAGAAGGATGAAAATAATTTACGTATCAGAATTATGGAAAATAATTGTCCGCTTGACAGATATGGAGAAAAACGAAAAACATAAAAGTCACAATAATAATTGAATAATAGTCATGAAAAATCGTTTACTTAAGCTGTACATTCATATTTATAGTTGTATGGTAAATATATAGAAGGATAGAAAAGATTGTATCATAATGTGATTCGAGACTTCAAACATCAGAACTCTAACCCATAAAATAGATTAAATTTAGTTTAAATCTCTGGTTTCACAAAAGGTCAACTGTAGATTTGTTACATCTGGATTCCCAGTTTAAGATACAATCATTCCTAAGAATATGAAGTGTTTAATCACTTCTGTACTAATCCTTTATCCGAACAGTATTAAGAATAAAAATGTAATATTGTAAGATTGGTCAAGTACATACTTTGTACATTGAAATACATGAGTTGTTGTTATAGAATGGTCCATTGTTGACATGTATCTCGTATAGTTTGCTATAAATTATATCTATTTGCTTAATTTTTTGCATAAAAATATCTCTTATTTCAACCTGAACTTTTCAATCATATTCATTCCGTTACCTTTTTTTTTTAAAAAAAATTATTGTAAATATCTAGCCTTTCTTCATGAAACTACTTCATGATGAAGAAGCTGAAGTACGAGCATTTGCTGCTGGAAAAGTAAAAGCATTTGCCAAATGTCTACTAGGTTTACCAATTGATGCTGATATAAATACTACTAATAAAACTACTAATTCTGATACAAAAGATTGTAAAAATTCTTCTACAACAATAACATTAGATAATAAAATGATGGAAATTGATGAGAAATTTGATTCAGTCAATAATCTCAATGATAATGATAATAATAATAATAATGGTTTAGCATCAAAAGATGATATAATTATGTTACAATTATTACCAGCAATTAAAAGTCTTACAAATGAATCAAATACTCATGTAAAATCTTCATTAGCTAATGCTATACTTGGTTTAGCTCCATTAATTGGTAAAAATTTAACAATTGAACATTTATTACCTATATTTCTTGCTCAATTAAATGATGATAATCCAGAAGTTCGTTTAAATGTAATTTCAAATTTAGAACAAGTTAATTCAATTATTGGAATTGATCATTTAACTATTAATTTATTACCAGCTATTATACAATTAGCTGAAGATCCAAAATGGCGTGTTCGTTTAGCTATTATTGAATATATGCCATTATTAGCGGAACAATTAGGTTTAGAATTTTTTAATAATCAATTAATTGAATTATGTTTATCATGGCTTATTGATCAAGTTTATGCAATTAGAGAAGCAGCTGTTGAAAATCTTGTCAATTTATGTAAAAAATTTGGATCAGAATGGGCTAGTCAATACTTTATACCAAAAGTAAGTAATAAGGGGTATATATTCTTCATAATTACACTATTTTATTATGTAATATATTATTTTATCATAGATAAATAGTTTAAAAAAAAATTTTTTTTGGATGAAATTTGTTTCATTGGAATTTAGTTTGCTATATGGGAATATTGATAATAAAATGAAAAAAAAAATCAAAGATCATTGGTAATTCTGGGAGTTCTTAGTAAGAAACTGTGACTTGTTAAGTGTGAGGTAGTTACTCAGTATTTGCTTTGGTAAATGGTTTTATAACAATACGAACTGATTAAAGTAAATTATCGGATAATAACTCAATTGTTTAAGAGTTAAACACTTGTTTCAAAACATAAGGGTCCTGGATCTGATCCCGATCCTCGGTGTGGCCGGGGATACACACTGTTGAGAAGTTTTATACTAGGGTGAAAGGGCTTTCTAGTGATTCTTGGTTTTCTGTGGTTGTTTCAAACCTGTTCTATAAACTATAAACATAATTGAACAGCTGTTTTATTGTGTTATAGGACTCCTCAAAACTGCACATCTGAGGCACTATCAGAGATTGAGTCCAGAAGCTTTGGGTCTCTTAGTTAGGACAATACATTTAAATTATTTTCTTGAGTTGAAACTCAATTTTAATGTCACTTAATTGGATCTGTCACATATCTTACTGAAGATTTTGTACAATCTAATACACTATTTGTTATGCTAAATCATGTATGGTTCTGTATTTACTCTTAAAATATCTCATTAAATAGCCGTAATTCATAAGAATAAATCAGTTAGAATCTCATGGATGTTATATCTATTTATAAGGTATACTCACTATTTGAAGATCAATAATACTGTTCAGTTGTTTGATTTTCATTCGATCGGAGGTAGCTTCTATAATTTTAACTTCGTAACGTCAATACAATTTTTTTAGACTTATTAATTATTTGTAACAATATAGGTGACCATATACTCGGTTATAGACCATACGTTTACATTGGGCTAATGATACTATCTGATTGTTCCATTTGATAATGAGGAACTAATTTTTAACCATCTCTACCCAGTAATGAAGACTAAATGATATAACCAGTTATTAATAACTATAAAATAAATTGGTAATACAGGTGAAACGTTAAACTTATGGTAATTGTGTGTCTAACCGAAATGAAGTATACTGTGTGCTGGGGGAGTGGGAGTGTTTAGAGCAGTATGATCGCAAGAATCTGGAGTACGGAAGAACAAAAAAGAGCGAGACGATAATTCAGCAAGCACATAATGTAATATATATATATATATATACTGAAGATGTACTTTTACGGTTAACAATCAAAGCGATCGGATAACAGCCAACATTATGTAATCGTGTGAGATTAAGATAATCGGTTAATGAAGACCAGACAATATCTCGCTCCTCCTTCACACATTTTATTTTATGCGGCGCTCATCACTTTTATTTATTTTTAAATTAATGAGATATTACTGAAATGATCAGTTTTCTGTATTAATAACATAATCTGTGAAGGTAAGGAATAGTTAATTAAGTAGTTAGGCTTCATTATTTCTTTGATGCTTGCCTTAACAAGCAGCAAATAATTTGAATCACTCATTTTACTACGTAATCTATTATCGTTCACCTGGTTTGTTTTTTTTCAGAATAAAATTAATAATATCAGGAAATTATTCTTGATTTCGTTCTTATTATATTTAATAGTATGAATAAGATTAACTGTGTGGAATAAAACGTATGGATAACTTTAGAATAAAGTCTCTTAATTTAAACCGGTAAACTATTATTTAAAGCAAACCAATGAAATCATAGGACAGTCTGAACGTATCTACACCCCAACTGGACTTTCCAGTTTTAGAGAAAAACACCTTTTTCATGATAGAGTTCATTGGTTCACATCTATGTGTATGTGTTTACACATAGATACTGGTACAAGGAAGCGCCAATACATATGCGCCATACAAATCTCATTTGATATGTGTGGGGGCTGTCATACTGCCCGGGTGCCCAAACCGAAGCAGGTGGTGCTCTTAGGGGGCCACACCCGGAGCCTTCGACCTGAAGGTCTGATCCACAAGGCAGTGGAGCATCGTAAGGAGATGCAGTCCCATGGTAGCCGGTGATCAACGATTGGTTCATACGCCATTTGCTCCTTCAGGATACTGGAGCCCATGTGCACCATTGGTTTGGAATCCGGTTAAAGCGCCGGACATTCTCTTTTCGTCCTCTCATTTTCGTAAACAACACCGGTGCCACGAGAAGGCAGTGAGTAGGACTTCCCTGGCAGAGGCTATATACACGTGGTCATGTGAGAGGGAGAGCGGACTCTCCCCACTCTCGGCCGTACCAGAGCATTTGGGGGCGGTTCACATCTCTAACTTCAACAGCTTGAAGATAACACGCCTTCTGAGAGACCTGGAGGTTCTGCGTTCTATTTATGGTAGGGTCGTGGATTTATGTTAATATAAAGCTTATTATTTTAGAATTAAGCCGTTGTTCAGTAATGTTTGGTTTATATCAAGTTCCGTAGTTGACAAGAATTCGCAACAAAACGCAAATACGAAATTTCCTCTCTTTGTTAATACTGCTGACGGAATATGGATTGGGTTAAAGCATGTTCCGTGTAGAGTTGTGTTGGGACACGCTGACTAGCCATATCTTAGCTAATTAGCTCTAGCGGATTATTGGAGAAGACTGTGAAGTTTTCTCTTGTGAAATTATAAATATACTCACGTTTTTCACATTAAAATTCTTACTCTCGTTCAAAGGCTCCGGGTATGGCCCCCTAGGAAAACCACCTGCTTCGGTTTGGGCACCCAAGCAGTATCACAGCCCTCGCAAAAATCAAATGAGATTTGTGTGGCGAATATGTATTTCGTGCCTCCTTGTACCAATATCTGTGTTCAAATAAATAATATAGTAAACTCTCATTTTATCATATTTATTTGGAACATAATTACGTCCCTGTTCAATCATGTTCTGATTTGAAAATTTTTCAGCGACAGTAAAGTGTTCGAAAAATACGAAGCATTAATAGTAACTAGGTTGTAATAAGAGAGATAATAAAAAATACAGTTAGCTCTCTTTACGAATTCGACTGAAGAAAAAACAATGATTAATATGGGACTTCTCACCGCTACTCACCCATGACCCTGTCATCGGGGACCAAAACCTCCGTATCCATGCGTGAATGAATGCTTGACCTGTGGACTACTGAGCTGGAATCCAATGGTGTACAAGTCTAACTTCAATCAATCCACGATATTTCGTGACCATCTTCCATTGTTCTCGGTTTACACGTTCCTCACACTCGACCCGATTTCTCAGTAACTAAGTGAAGATTGTATAGCAAAGGGCAAATAATAGTGATAATTGGAAGTGATTTAATCAAAATTATGAATTTACCATGACAGTGATAAATTAACAACTGTCTCTTTTTGAGTACTTACATTTAATGTGAATTTTTAATTTGCTATCACTTTAGAGAAGCGTAAAGAAGTTGCTTTTTTATCCGTTAATGATTTCGAATAGTTGATAAACCTCTGTAATATCCCCACTGTCAATGAAATATCGAGGTATTGAACTGTGTACTTTCGTGGCAATATGTAGTCTCTAACTCTTTAGAATGTACTCAGCAATATAAAAATGTACTCGTGTCTCTGTTCTAATTTATGTCTATCACATGACACGTAAATTGATAAATGAAGTCAAAGGTACTGAATAATGTAGACTTATCGATTTTTACTTGTTATCCGTTTCATGTGTAAAGTCAAGATTCTTTTTCCTGGACAAACAGTCTTCAATCGAGTATTTATTCTGAAACTAATACCTTTTTTCTACTTCCCAATTTCGCTATCCCCTTGTAAAAGTAAGTGAAGTGATTCATCAGCAAATAATTTAAATTTTTAAACTGCTACATTACACAATGATTAACAGTGCAGATTCACGATTCCGCACGTAGGATTCGAACCCGAAACCTCCAGTCAATCACACGAGCACTGAGCCATCATCCAACAGTGTTAGTGTATAACCTCAACCCATCTACAAAATTACTCAACCATCTTCTATTGTCTTCTGTGGATAACTGCCTCATACTTGATATTGGTTGAATTCCACTGGTCACGGTTTTCTCACTAGAACTCCAAGAATTAACTGTCGAAACTAGTTCAATACTTCTAGGTTTTCAATACTGGCCTAACATTGATCGGTTTATAATCTCAATAAATACTTATTGATGATTACTACAGCCCATATATATATATATCTCATTACTTTTGCTTTTTATTTTACAATTAACAATTTATAGATTATCCACTTGTCACGTGATGAAAATTATCTTCATCGTATGATTTGTTTACAAAGTATTATAAGTTTGTGTAAAGTTGTCAATCCAACAATTTGTTGTCAGTATTTATTACCTACTGTTTTATCAATGCATACAGATAATGTACCTAATGTTCGGTTTAAAGTAAGTAAATTCATATTATCTATATCATTATCACATTAGTGTTTTATGTTAATAGTTGATAAGAATAGTTCATGAGGTACTCTATTCAATTATTATTACTATAATAGGGTAAAATAGTAATTTTAATCAACCTGTAAAATTTATCATTAAAAACAGTGTATGTTTCAGTTCATATTTGTATAACACTATCGTCACATGTATGAATATAATGAAGAAAGTCAATTGACAAGAATGTAGAAATTAAAATGATTCAAAGTAAATTGTATTATAAATGTAATAAGAAAGAAATTTAGGTATAAGGAATATATATTTATCAAACCTTATACTTTTTGTTGTTGTTGGATTTAATGATTACAATTGATCAGATTCTGAGCGGATTAGCTCGATATTGTCATTTAGTGAAGATAGTTAGTGGGTAGTAATGGAGCTCTGGATGTATTTCCCACCCCACTATTGAGGGGCCCGTTATCTACATGTATCTGCATACGGATGTTAATGTTTACACTGGGACTTTAACAACGGGAAGATACGTAAACTTATAAATAAAATTTTTTACTCGTTACACAAACCGGTGGTTGTCTGGACTATATGTTTTCATGGATAGTGTATTGGCGTTTGGAGCCAAAAGTATATTATGTTCAAGTCTCAACATGAAAATCAACGCCGATATACAGGTTTATCTGGATGATGATTTTAAAATGGAACGAAATGGGCATCCTGAGTTCTACTGTTAGTCACTGTCCAACTTTAATAGAGACATTAAATATAATTCAGAGAAAGCAAATGAAATAAATATATGAATTGAAATTCGAAACTAACAGGAGGATACAAATGAATCTGGACTACTATTCAATCAATTTTGAATAGTTACATAAGATCTTATCGAACATAATAACAAAGCTTGCGATTTCATTCAGTAACTGGACTAGTAATCATTAGTGGTATCCGTATTTCAGTTTAAACATTTCTATCCTCTCCTATGCTAACGAAGCATTACTTATTAGGGTAATCGATTTGTGGTCTTACCTATCACATATGTAAGTTACCTCAGTCAATGAAGTTTCACAGATATATTGATCAGTTTACTGTTTGATGTTATGTTCAGTTATAATTAAGCTATCAATACTTAATAGGTTGGCGATAATTCGGATTAGTCTAACCTGATTTAGATGAGACACTGCTAGCTTCAATTGTAGGTAGACTAGTCTATGAATTGAGATTAATGAAAATATCTCGGTAATTGAACTGTTCACGTCTAATCACTTCTGAACGACAAATGTTTGGATTGCGCACAGAGGAGCCTGCTCAAAATTTTTATTCAAAAGCAACAATAATCGAAAATGTCTGTATTAATAATTTATTTACACTCAGGGAGTAAGTCTCATTCATTATCTTTCCAGTAATGAATTTAAATCGCTATGAAAAATATCCTTATTCACTACACTCCATTTAAAGGCGTTTGTGTATAAGATCGTTACACTACTGCGATAAGTAATTACAATTTCATTTCTGCAGGTGCTTCTTTCCTTTGTGAAAAAATAATATGACTAAGTTGTGTAACTCACCGAAGTACGAACCCGATTACTTGACTTTAAACCACACTTGAACTTAGCTCTAGGCAACTATCCAAACCGAATTAGTTGGAGCCGGTATTCGAACCTAAAACGTCAATAATTATAAGGTTTCCTGTTTTCATTCAACAGTCTTCATATGTGGTAGCTTTTAAGTAGATGTGGAGGTGTCGAAAATGTCCACTAGTTGATATTGTTATTAGTATTGTTCAAGTGTACTAACTGTATTAATGGCCGTGAAATGTGGTTTTTAAAAACAGGATATTATCGTAGGTTATTAGTGTCTGACTGTAGATGCTCTGGAAGTATTGAGTGGGTATGTTCGGACCACTAAATAGGCAACGCTGAAATTAGACACAAGATACTTGGTAAAGATAAAAAATCCGTTGATAAGGTAGTTAATCTTCATCGACTGAGGTGATTGGGACAAATTATGTATACCCAACCACCGCCTACCTCGACGCGGGATTTTATTTATTTATTTCAACACATAAATATCGGTACAAGAGGGCACCAAATATATATTCGCCATACTATATTTGTGTGTGTGTGGGCTGTGATACTGCTCGGGTGCCCAAACTGACGTGGAATACTTGGTGTAGGAGTAAGTTGAAAGTAAACTAAAAGGAGATCGAACCTAGACATGACATTAGTCCACTAAATTATCGATTTTCGGACTGAGCTGTGTGTGCGCGTGCATACTATCCGCTTGAAGTCCGCGTAATTTTCCCAACTAATAGTTGACGATAGTTTGACATGACACAAAAATCCTAAAATCCTAACCGATTTAATTTGGTTTTCGGAGCTGTGGCACAGTAGTTAGGGGGTTCCATTGAATCCATCATCATGTAAACAACTAAGTGGTAATTTTATTAACCTTCATATTTAGATTCTAAGGTGACTCATAACCAAGAGTGACGATTGAGTCAATGCGAAAATAATAAGATTCAAATTGCTTATCGTCATTGTTATTATTATTGTTACTTATTATTATTATTATTACTTTATTTATTATAATTGATAGGTCGCTCAAGCACTTAGCAATTTAGGTTCACAATTAGAAGAGAAAAATATTGAGAATGAAATTAAATCTTGTTTAACTCGTTTAGCTGAAGATTCTGATACTGATGTGAAATTCTATGCCTATGAAGCTATGGATACATTGAAGATAACAACAAGCAGTAAACCGTTTCAATGTTATTATATTAAAGTTAAACAGAATAATAATGGTAATGATAATAATCCAGCTTATAATCAAACTGAACTACTGCCATCATCAACAACAACAACAGTGACGGCAACTGGATTCGACGAAGTTGAAACTGTCGATTCATCATCGTCATCATCACCATCTGAACTAACCAACCACTGTAATATTGATGATCAGTCTTTGTCGTCGCTTAGTATTGTCAATGATTTGACTACTACTCCTATCGAAAATACCGTTAAGGATAATAATGATAATAATTCGTTACTAAAATCACAATCTTCTACTTTAGTCAATAATACAAACAGTATTGACGATAATGTAAATTGTGAAAATTAACGTCAAAAGACAATTTCTACTATTATAACCCAATCAGTTTTCTTTTTGTGTATATCGTATTATTTATGTTATGTGTTAAGAGTGAGAGAGAGAGAGAGTCAAGACAGCTGACAGTTGATCAACAAATATACAATTTATCAATCTACATGCTTGTGTATATCTGTACGTATCTGCCACACAAAAATACTTATACCTGTTACTCCTCGTGGAGGAGCACAGGCCTACTTACATACACTCCCCCTCTGTATGATATACACCGTATACTAGTTATGCGTATTAAGTGAAGCCATGGTGTGTGTATACACGCTGTTTATGATGATGAGTTCGGCTGGTTTTCTTTTTTTTTTGTTAAAACAATTTTCCCCACTAATTCCTGTAATGGATAATAATCGTCATCATTATTATAATTACCATTCTTTTTTAATTCTGATGATTACAATTTTTGTTGCCTGCATGACGTTAATTGATTTTATATTGGTTTGTTTATTTTTTAATTATTCCATATTTTGTAAACTGTTAGCCATATATATATATGTTTACTAATTGACATGAATTGAATCCTTAATAATCAGTTTGTTTATTGTTTGATTGATGAAGAGAGAGAGAGAGGGTGTGTGTGTGTGTGTGAGAAAACTACCGTCTGAACAAATGACACATTATTATTATTATTACTGTTATGGAATACAAACATTACTAGTTATATTTAAATGATAAAGCCATGTATTATACACAACTTTTAATTTCTTTCTTTATTAGCTTTTATCTTTTAAACGGTTTTCTTTTGTCCTTTTCCGGGGGGGGGTCTCTCATAACCATCTCATAGTTCATTTTATACTATGAATGTATTTATGAAAGTGATTATTAGAATCGAATCACATTGTTTCCTATTTACTGTTTATATTGGTTTGTTAACCTTTTCATATAACTCTTTATTCTTATATTTGATTATATGTATGTTTACATCAATTTATTACAATAATTACATTTCTTTCTTTCTATCTATCTCTTTTGTTGTTGTTGTTATCTATTTTAAAGTGTGTGCCTTGATACATGATCCAAATGATACATTCTCGTTTAAAATGAAATGAAATGATGATTAATAATAATAGTTTGTTTGTTGTAATTATGAAGAAAGATATTGATCATTGATTTAAACTCTTTTCACTTGGTAATAATGATAGAATTTTAGAGAGAAAAGAAAGTGGATGTTTGTATACGTATGTATGTAAAGGTTAAAGCGGGACAATCAAACGAAGGTGTGACACCAGTCTATGAAGTCAATAACTATTGAACTATGTATTGTAACAATTGATTGATCACTGGGTGGCGATCAATATGATGCGTGTCTAGTCCTTATTAGTGCAGATCGAATGCTATCGATCATGTTGCAATATGGCCAACAGTCTAGGTGACTCGACACTGCACGCACTATATATTGAGATTAAATGGTGGTTGGAGGTAGTCGACAGGGAACCCACGCATGACATTGATCACCACCCATTGATCAATCAATTATGATTACATCTCAGTCCTACAGGAGGTCGGTCGCGGCTCGGATAGTTCAGTGGTGACGTCTCTGACTGTGAAGCTGGGTGACACGGGATCGAATCCGTCAGGGAGCACCAGTTCCCTCAAGAATACAGGTACACCTTGCTGACGAGTGCCAAGTAGCACGAAACCCGTGTTCAGGGTTTCCTATCGACTATCTCCAACCACCATCTAATCTCACTATGTATTGTCAGTCAGTCAGTCAGTTACAACATAGGACCAGGCACATATATGCATCAGTCCAAGTTGCCATACCGCATTAGCACAGCAAGATGAACACCAGATTCATAAAAGTAGTTAAGTCAATGGTGAAAAGAAATATTGTATATAAGGATATAGTACAGGAAGAATGATTTCGCACGTAGGAAGAAAGATATGAAGCGATTGTAATCTCTTAGTTTAAGGGAAGACAGAGTGTATACACCTACTCCATTGTGATCGATTCTGAGCCATGTCACAGAGTCTCACGCCATTGGTTACGATAGTCGCGCGGACCCGAACCAAGTAGTCTGCATCTCCCAACATGGCTCTGACCAGAAGTTAGTCACTTCAAGCACTGATGCCACGTTTTGGTTTGGTCACCCCTAACTTTCTTCCAACCATCCCCAACACCGGTTAGCATTGCACGTCGTGGTAATCGGTGTTCAGGCATACGTAACACGTGGCTCAACCATCTCATTCGATGAAGATTCACAAACTCATCAACTGATTTACCATCATCCTCTAGTACCCTGCGTCTAACCTCACTATCACTTACCCGGTGATCCCAGCAGATGTGAGCAATATTTCTAAGGCATCTGTGGTCAAATATTAATAGCTTACGAGTATCTTCTACTCTTAATGGCCATGTTTCGCTGCCGTAAATTAAAACGGAACGAACTGCCACGCAGTATACTCGTCCTTTTGTTGATGGACGAATATCTCGCTTTCTCCATAGGTGACGTAAGTTGGCAAAAGCCAAACGAGCTTTTCGAATCCGTGCTGAGATTTTGTCAGACACCGACCCATTAGTGCTGATCAGACTACTTCACTTCCTATCCTCAGTTCAGGTATTGACGCAGACCAATCATGAAGCAACAGCTTGCATTTAGAAGGAGATTTAAACTGCCTGATCGGTGTTGGTGTGATCATTACGATAAATGATTGGAGACGATAGAATACATGGGTTAGGATCGGTGGTCGTTGTTGTGACTTTAAGTCCGGTTAGTTATCACGTAATTTATTTGCCAATCGAAATACGACTTATTCACTCTTGTACTGTACTAAACCAATGACGTTCGACTGATCTGATCAGCCTAGCGCCCTTAGTGGTCTTTTGTTCGCCTAGCCCGTCCACTTGAGTCCAGAACACAAATAACAGCTTCCACTATGCGAATCGCTTATTTCAGACATAATTGGTTCATATACCAGCCAAATAAAGCCAAAAGTGGCTGTGAACGTGGGAGACAGTAATTAATAAACCGAGTATTGTTTAAGAACAGTAAATCGTATAATAATAATTTCTAGGTCAAAATGAAGCTTATAATATGATAAATATAGATATACACAATCTAGTTACTGAATAGTTATACAATAAGAATGTATATATCATATTATTCCATTAATATGTCTCAGAAGTTACTCGTAATTTAATCTTCACTTGGATCTAACAGTTGTGGTACAAATCCATTCATTCTTTGTCGTCCCTTATATTCAGTTTTAAGATCACCCTGTTTTTTCCTCTGCAAATTCACTCTTCCTGAATCACATCTTTTATCTTTAATATTTACTAGTACCATTAATAGTGACAATAATAATAGTTTTTCTTGCACATTAGTACTCGTCTCTTTAGCGTTCTCTCATTGTGATCATTTCGTGTGGCAATCAATAGAGATATATATCAGATTCTACGTCGGTCCTGACTTAGAGGACTTACTTTCTACTTACTAGATTGAACTGTTCATTGTGTTAATCACTTCTGTTAGGACAAGTATTGGTATTCTCTTACTTTCTCTGGAGTAAAACACTCGTGATTGACTAAAGCCAAAATACTGTCTTACTTTCGATTGATATATGGATATCAACATATATAATAAATGGTCTTACAATAGATATTGATTAACCTGAGTTAAAAAGTCACATTTGAGTTAACGAACTGGAAAACAACAGTTGGTTCTCAAAACAGGTAAGCAGTAAAATAACTAATTCATCATAACTTGACAGATTAGATGTATATCAACCAATAAGAGAACAGTTAATATAAGATTAAACAATGAAATATAAATCAGAAGTTATGTAATCAACAAAAGCAGTTACTCGTGAATACTTTAGTTATAAGAATGTATAGTTCAAAGTTGAGTGAACTAATTATTACTTGGTTATCAACTCATACTGTTGCTTATAATTTTCATCTATATATTAAGTCATTTTTTAAATGTATCCTTATCCATCCAGACGTCAGTCTGTAAGATTTTGTTGATAACAG